TCGAAGACGGTGTTTAACATGGAACTAATATTTGTATAGGTTGTATTCTGTGACGGACAGAAGACCGCGTTGCACTTCTCACCGAAAAGGCAGTCAGTTAGGTTTCACGTAACGTTTTAATTTAGCAGTGTGTTTGGGGAAATTAGCAATTAAACATGTAACTTGGTAGAACAATGTGCTAAGATCGGTTGGTGAAATTTTTATCAAATATGTCTGTTTTGTTTTGGTGATTTAACCCCTAAATGTACTTCCGGTTCACGGCGACTTGATTAGAAAATTCTGTTTGCTTTCAGCCATGTCACTGTAGATGGAATTCCGTGTCCACAGACGCTTATGAAGAGACGGTATTAAGAGAATTAATACATTTACTCAACACCTTCCTCAGACAGAAGGTGCGTTTGTTTTATGGAATTTACTCGAACGCATTCCCAATGAAATGTTGTAATTATTTCTTGTGTGGAAGAGGATAAATTAAAACATTTATGGAGGTCATTTTTAGCCACTGCAAATAACAGATAAAAATAAATAAACACAAGAAATTACTTTCACAGAGCAAACTTCAATGATAACAGCAGTAATTCATGGGGAAGAGAGCAGAGATTATTCCCCTTAATTTTCAAATCTTAACTGATCTGTACTGATCGTTACTGTTAGAATATCAATGGTCAAAGCTGTAACTAATAAAATAAAGAACAAAGAGATGATGCCACTCATTTTCAAACCTACCTTAAAGTGATGAACTTGTACAATCACTGAGGTCTGTATAACACTGCAACATTTACGTAGAAAGTTTTTGGTCCAGAATTGTTGGTACTGTTCTGGTTCTTCTGTCCCTATGAAGTGCTCTGCTCAGTCAGCCTCCTTTTATTCTCTTCTGAAATGTATTTCACTTTCAGTTTGATCATGTGATTTCCCAGAAACGACTTCACTGTGCTCAGCCAGCTTCCTTTCATTCACAAAATGTATTTTTGAATTTCAGTTAAATCATGTAATTTTCTGGAAGTGACTTATCAGTTAATACAGCAGTTAATACAAACATTAAAAGTTGTTAAAATTGCTTTAGCTCAGTTAATCAAACTTTTCCCTGTCTTTAGAGAAACTACCACATTTACTGTTTGTGTGCAACAAGTGTAGTGTATTTTGTCTATTATTAAGTCCACGATTAATTGAGTAGAAATATGTTTCATTATTGATCAAAATAGATGTGATTACATTATACTTCCGTAATCAAGTAGCCATACAGTACAGCCCCCACTGCGTCTGTTCCACATGGTCAGTATTTTGGAGAGAAAACTTATACAAAGCCAGTGTGAGTAGAACTGACTTGAAAAAAAAGACATCATTGCTCCTTGGGTGACTTGAAAGGCGCTTATAAATAAAATGTATTATTATTATTATTATAAGTACACAGTCAATACATACCTCATTGTGTGTGACACATTTATTTTATTCAGAAATACTTGTTTACTTGTTTGATCGGACTAGTTTTGCTTGGTTTTGGGAAAAAAAACAATAACAATTAGGGATGTCCGATATTAACCTTTTGCCAATATGCCAATATTGTCCAAACAATTTCTGATTCCGATATCAACTGATATTGATATAGCGGGGCAGTGGTGCCCTGGTGGTTAGGGATGTTAAGTGCCACCTGTTCACTAAGGTGTTGGATTAAAGCAGTGTTTCTCAATTTATTTATTTATGTATCTGTACAAACCACTCTCTGAGTTGCTGGCAGCAGCATTCTGGATACAATCTTCATGTTAATGAAATACATTGTTAAAATGAGCTGCAATGCTGCCCTCTAGTGACTAGAGGCATGTTTGAATTTCATGTGTTATGAAGGAGATAACAGTTACGGGTATGGGAGGGGGAGTGAGGAGGTGTGGTGAGAGCACGTTTGTGTATGTGTGTGGAGAGTGTAAGAGGAGAAAAAGGCGTTTTTGGAGAAGCTGTGTTGAGAGCAGCAAAGGAGATTAGAACGAGGTACTGCAGTTGTGTTTCAATAAAAGTTCTTTAGACCACTGAGGCATCTGACTGGACTGTCGCCACCACTGGTGGGCAGTAATGCGTTGAAAGTAATGCATTACTATAATCGGTTTACTTTTATCAAGTAATGAGTAAAGTAAGGGGTTACTGTTACTACTGTTACTTTCTTTCAGATAGGCTGCGTTACTAATCCGTGAATTTATTTGTGGGAGTGCTTCATTACAGTGACATCGCAGTGTGACGTCAGTGGTAAGAGCCACATGTGTAGATTGACGAGGGAGAACATGGAGTCCAGGAGAGAGCAGGACTATGGAGCGTTTATTGCATGGAAATACTGACGTTACTTTGAGTTTCACACCATAAAGAATTGCAAAAACATTAGTGTCCGCTGTACACTCTGCGTTGGAACAAAAATTTTATTGACAGCGAAGAATTCCACGTTAAGTCTGAGAAAGCACCTCGAAAGCCGACCCAGGAATATGAATATATTGCCTTCAGTATGAACAATATACTCTATGAGGCTTACCTTTAAAATCCAAAGAGTCGTTGCATTCATAATAAACATCAGGTAAACCTTCATCATCAGTTTCCTACAGATTAAAAAAGACATTTGTGAATGATTAGGATTATTCTCCATCTTTTGGTGATCTACACTCAAAAACACTTTTTGTTCATTGCTTTTTGTTCATTGCTCAAGTACACAGTAATTCCAAACCCCATTGTGTGTGACATGTTTGTTTTATTCAGAAATACTTGTTGACTTGTTTGATCAGACTAGTTTATGCTTGGTTCTGTGGAAATAACAATATTAATATTTGAAGTCAATAACTCATACAAACTGCTGTTCTCATTGAGCAAATAAGAGTGAATTCCAACTTCTGGGACAAATAAAGAAAATATTTAAATGTATTTCCTTTGCTGCCCAGCCCCTTCCCTCACCCCTATTGTATTCACTACTGAACTAAATAGTAACATCTTAATACTAATCACCAGATCACACCAGATAAATAACCTATAAAGATATGTATTTCTTTCATATGTGGTAAACATATTGGTAAAAGTTCTATAATCAATATGTCAAAGCCACTGTCTATGGCAAATTGAACACAAAAAGTACCAAAATTAAATTTGTGGCACTGGTTTTAAATGCTGAGACATTGTTGATGGGTCAAGTATACAGACAAAGTTTTACTGCACTGACAAACATGTTTGAGTTCATTCTTATTCCAGTCCATAACAGCCCTGCACTGATCTTTACTGTTCAAATATCAATGGTCAAAGCTGTAACTAATCAGGTATCCCATTCCCATCTTTGGTCATTTGAATTCTGACCACAGCCACAC